GTTTTTTTTCTGATGAAGATATTTCAAAAATTCATGAAATGCTGTTGCTTTATTTTCTAGTTAATAAAAAACCATATTTGAAATCTTTTCAAGTTGATTAAAATGGCTTCTTAAGTGAATGCCAGTCAAAAAGGTATTGGTGAGTAGGATGCTCGCAATAGTTGGGATGAGGTGATACATAGATGTCAGTCATTATCCTTCCTGGCTTTCCCAGTGAGTTTCATGAATAAATGACATGGCTTTGGAGATGGAGGTCCATGCCTGAACTCTGCAAATGGATTTCAACTAACTGAGGCTGACGTCACTATTGGCACTTCCTAGTATCCAACTTGCTAAGAATAATGACCCCCGGAGTCCCAAATATTGTGCCGTATATCAGTGGGTGTATTAGACTAACATTTGGTGTCAAGTTAATTACAGCAGATGTAATTTAACATGAGAAAAGCAGTGACTGTTTTCCTGTATATGCATTTACCTCACTTCCAGCTCAACCAAAGTACTATTTAGGATTTACGTGATGCTGTATTCAGAGTTAGGAAATTCCACATGATATAACATTGGACCCAGAAACTCATCTACAGCAAAACTGTGAAGCGATGTGTGCTCATGATTTTACCATATTACAGAAATAGCTGTGAAGGGAACTCATTAAAAAGTCAAGAAAAGCTGACACACCTGGTGATACTGAATATCTGTTCTACCAGATGTGGAAAGGACTCTAAAACACTAACTGTGGATCATGCTATTTCTTCTATAGTCAGAATGTTTGTGTTGGGAGACAGGGTGTGAAACCCTTGCTATGCATTATACCTACTGAGGAAATTCATAGGCAATAATGAAATCATAGGCAATAATTCCGAAAGTAGACAAGTGGAATTATATCAAGAGAAAAAGCTCCTTCACAGCAAAGGAAAAAAACAAGTAGAGTGAAAAGATAACCCTTGGAATGGGGAAAAATTATTTGCAAGTTATTCCTCAGACAAGGGATTGCTAGCCAGAACATATAGGAAACTCAAGCATCAACCCCAGAAAAAAATGAATAACCCAATTAAAAAGTGGGCAAGTGAACTGAAAGAACAACTGTCCAAAGAAGACTTATGAGTGGCCAAAAAGCATGTGAAAAAGAATGTTCAAAGTCTCTTGTCATAGGGAAATGCAAATTAAAACCACAGTGAGATACCCTTTAACCCCAGTTAGAATGACTTGGATCAAAAAATAATAATAATAATAATGTTAAGTGCTGGTGAGGTTGTGGCAAAAGGGAATCCTTTTTAGGTGTTGCCATAGGGTATGTGCATTTACCAGAGAGAGAGAGAGCGAGAGCATGCCAGAGAGAGAGAGAGAGAGACAGACAGACAGAGACAATGAGAAAGAAAGTGACAAATCACCCTCCAGGGGGATGGTCACACCATAATCCCTTCTCCTCCATTTTCCTCCTGGGATTTTAAGCATGCACACACACATGCCTGGTGTGAGTCTCAAGTCACTGGGTCTGAGATCGTACTGTGGCTGGCCATGTGGGAGTCCCTAAATGTAACCACTATGCCATCTGCTGGCCCCCAAAATGGATCTCTCTCACAATGTTGGTGGAAATGTACATTAGTACAACCTCTGTGAAAAGCAATATGGAGTTTCCTCAAAAATATACAAATGAAACTGCCATATGATCCAGTAATTCCACTTCTTGATATTTACTTAAAGGACAGGAAAACAGTCAGAGAGACATTTACACATCCACGTTTATTGGTGCATTATTCACAATTGCTAAAACATGGAACCAACCTAAGTGTCCAAAAATTGATGACTGGGTTGAAAACTGTGTCACATATACACTTCGGAATATTACTCAGCTACAGGAAACAGTGAGATCCTACCATTGGATTCAAAGTGGATGGATATAGATCTGATGACTGGGTTGAAAACTGTGTCACGTATACACTACGGAATATTACTCAGCTACAGGAAACAGTGAGATCCTACCATTGGATTCAAAGTGGATGGATATAGATTTAATGTTTTACAAAGTAAGCCAGACTTTGAAAGATCCACATTATATATCCCTTCTCAATTTGTACCAAATATCTATCTTCTATGGCAGAAATTGAGTTTCTGAAGATATTATACTAGAGGGGATAAGTGTAGACACCAGAGACTGTAAAGCAGGAGAGGAAATGATGGAGAGTGACATAAAAAAGATCATTCCAACTTTGCAGGATAATCCTTTCCCAGCATAGAAAAGAAGCAGAAGATAAAAGGCATTTTTAAAATTGACATCTTTGGGACCAGTGGATGGTGTAATGCTTTTATTGCTATACTCCCATGCAGTCAACCATGGTTTGAGTCCTGGACTCAGCAGCTTAAAATTCATGCTAGCCGTATGAGCGTTCGTGGCCAAAAATCCCAAGAGGAGAACAGAGGAGAAGGGATTGCAGTGTGGCTATCCTCCCTAGGGGGGTGGGGGTGGAGTTATTTATTGCTTTCTGTCTCTGTTTCTTTCTGTCTCTCTGGCAAGTGCACATGCCTCATAGAAAAAATCTCTCACCTCACCTCCCCCCAAAGTTGACATCTTTATGATAGTCTGTTGTTTCAGGAGATATTATTTTTTGGTATTTGAGTAAATGTGCATAAATAAAAACAACTGTTTTGTGATTCCATTTCTCATAACATATTTGACAACTTATCAGGAGCCATATAAGGAACTTCATGAAAAAAACGTATTCTAATTACAAACAGGGCCAACCCTATTCTAATTACAAACTCTTAGACCCTGAAGTCAAGTAAGGACCAGAGAAATTCGAGATAGTTTTATCTTACAAACACCAGGGAGAAAGCCCTCTGGGACTAAATGTGACCACATATTTGATGTGGACGCAGAGAGGAACTGAGCTCTACAGGGCAGCAGCTCTGCAGCTGAAGGCCAGAACCTACCCTCTCTAATTTGCATGTTTTCCCTAGAGCCCATATCTGTTCTTCAGAATCCTTATGAGTAGGCTGCTCTGTAATTCTGCACGAAAAGAGTCCCAGGCAAGGCCTAGATTGAACATGGGTGTCCTGACTCAACTCTTCTACCTTCTTTTGTTCTGGCATCCAGGTGAGGAGGGTAAGGCAGGGAACCCCCTGACATGTGGGATTTTCTTCTCCTCATTGAGACTCTTCCCAGGGCCTCAGTGGATCTCTGACCTATAATCTCCTCTCAGAGACCCAAGTGTCAGGCTGGAGGTGGGATAGGGATATTAGACTGTGCTGGGAGGGAAATAGAGCTGGGCTCGATTAACAAGGGTGACTTTTTGTGTTGCTTCTTTCTCAGCTGCCAGCACCAACACCACACTGACCCAGTTTCCGGCTTACCTCTCTGTGTCCCTAAAAGAGAGCATCTCCATCATTTGCAAGGCCAGTCAGAGCGTTAGTGATTATGTCACCTGGTATCAGCAGAAACCAGGCCAGTCTCCTAAGATTATCATCTATGATGCTGATAACCGGTACTCTGGTGTCCCAGACCGGTTCACTGGGATACAGTCTGGGACGGAATTTATTTTCAAAATCAGCAGTGTGGAGGCTGAAGATACTGCCAACTATTACTGCCAGCAGGATTACTCATTACCTCCCACGGTGTTGCAGCCCTTAACAGAAACCATCCTCTTGGCTAGCTGGGTCTGAGGTTATGGGGTTTTGCAGCTGCACTCTCCCTTATGGCGTGGTGAGAAGTATAGGGTCTATTTTTGGGAGGCAGTTCATGGGCAAAGACCTGCAAGAGATTTTAGTCCCTCCAAAGCTTATTTCTGCAACAGTACAAAAACACACAAAACCTTCAATTGTGGAAAGGAGCTGTCTAGGTAAAATCTGAAAAAAGACCTGGTTCATAGCAAAAATCTCTGAATCTTTTGTCTGAGAAGAGGTATTTTTTAAAAAGAATTATTTATTTTATCTTAATTATTATTATTTTAAAATTTCACCAGAGAAAGAGAGAAAGGGAAAGTGAGAAAGCAAGTTGCCAAACCGTGGTTGACTTGTGGGAATCTAGTGCTTCAACCATCACACCGCTTGCTGCCTCCTAGAAAAGGTATTTTTAAAAATAGAGAACTAAGTTTTTTTTTTTTTTTAAAAAGGAGCCAATATCCAAGAAAATAACACTGTCATTTGCTGTTTAGTGAAGTTTTGAAGATTTTCTGTGTTAAATATTGTACTAAGGGCACACAGAAAATATATCCAACAATCATCATCTGTCGCAAAGAAATCAGTGGTTCTCAGAGTTTAGTTGGTTCAAGGTACCAGTGATTATAAGGGAAGAATATGGAAACAGATAATCTGATATTGATAATCTGTTTTTTGATGCTATAATTTATAGTAATTAATTAACTTTAAGTAATTATAGATATAGCTAAATATAACAGATATCATTATTATTAAAATGTAAGAAAGTAATATTTACTGCATATAAAGTACATTTAAAGTGTACAGTTCCATAAATAGACATGCCATCATCTAACCACCACCCAGATCGAGTTACACAAGGGGATTTAGGACAGGTCATGGAAATCTAGAAATAGAATAAAAGTACAAGTTTATTTTTGTTCAAAAAAATTTGAAATCCACCCATAGTTTTTTTGTGTATGTATTTTTCATAAATTTCTTGTGGTTTGTAAACATTGCCAGTTTTCTGAAATACATATCCCGACTATGTATAAAAGTTCTAGTTGCTGTAGAATCTTTCCAACACTTGGTATTGTCAGACTTTCTATAGTAAATATCTGTATTGATAAATATAAATTGATATCATGACTAAAATGTACACTTTCTTGATGAACAATGGCAGTTAGCAATTTTTATATATATTTACTTTTCATAGGCAATTTGCATATCTTGTTTTTTGGGAAGGGCATGTTCAAATCATGTGAATTGTTTATATACAGAGGTTCTTAATTATAATGTCTAATATGTCATTTTTCCCTACTGTGAGTGTCTCATTTAATAAATATTTGCTACGTTTAGAGTCTAAACATGTTATCTTACGCTTTCTTCTAGAAGCATTATTAATTTGACTCTCATACGTAGACCCATACATATTTTTGATTGATGTGAGGTGGGTAAAAGATTTTATTTTTCCCTTTTATTCTCATCTACATCTGATTGCTTTTCTGCATTTATTCAAAAACAAAACAAAGAAAAAACAACCTATACCCCTATATCCTGAACCCACAATCTATTGATTGTGTATGTGTGACATTTTTTTCCTGTCCTTTCTGTTGTGTTCCATTTCTTTTTTTTTCATATTTATAGCAGATTGCAGTCTTAATTATTATAGTTTTGTAGTAAGTCTAAAATATGGTATTATAAATATTCAGAATTAATTTTTTCTAAGATTTTCTGGACTCTTTTATGTCATTTGAATTTCCATCTAAATTCTATAATCACCTCATAAACCTTAATATATCTTTTTGGTTAGCTTGTAGCATGTGGGCTCTTTTTTTTTTTTTTTTTTTGGAGAGGTTTTTGCTATAGAACGTGTGCACTCACCAGGACAGAGAGAGACAGAGACAGAAAACAAGAAATCACCCCCCCCCAGGGGGGATGGCCACACCGCAATCCCTTCTCCTCCATTCTCCTCTCCGGATCTTGGGCACACACACACACACATGTCAGCATGAGTTAAGCCACCAGGTCTGGGACTCGAACTGTGGTCGACCACATAGGAGTTCAGTAACATAGCCATTATGCTAACTGCTGATTCCACCTTGGTAAATAATTTTTAAAAAGTGCTATAGGAGGACACGTGTGCTTGCTGGAGACAGAGAGAGAAAGAGAAAGCAAGAAAGTGAAAAAGCAGCCCTTAAAGGGGATGGTTTTTGAATACACATACACATGCACTCAGTGTGTTTTTTTAAGCTGCTGGGTCTAGGAATTGAACCATGAAGTAGACTATATGGAATATAAATTTCTTAACTATACTACAACATTGGCTGGCCCAAGGAAATTACTCAATTTCTGAAAATCTTGATGTTCCATAAATATAAAAATATTTGGTCATCTCATGGACAGATACTTACAGTTTTCAAAGTAATTTCAAATATATTTTTACATTAATTAGAAAATAAAGTTGGGTATGTTTCCAACATGAATCTTTTATTTATTTATTTATTTTTTTAGATTTTTCCTGTAGGGCAGGTGAGCTTGCCAGAGAGATAGAGAGTGAAAGAAAGTGAAAATGAGCCCCCATAGGGGATGGCTACACTGTAATCTCTTCTCCTCTATTCTTCTCTTGGAATTTTGGGCACACACACACACACACACACACACACACACAGATGCCCAGTGTGAGTTTCAATCCTCCCAGTCCAAAACTCAAACCGCAGGACTATGTGGGAGTCTAGTGCCCTAACCAACAGGCCACCTGCTGGCTCCCCACCATGAATCTGAAATGGAAAATTTCTTACATGGAAAAAATATCTCTTTAGGCGAAGTCAAGGTGCCCTAATTTATCCTCTCTATTGCAAATGGAGTCAGGGTGGTTTAGTCTGGCTCCCTTACCTCCTATCCTGTCATGTTTAAAGGCCACTGAGTAAACAACTTATGTTATTTGCTCTATTGCACTTGTGCAATTGTTATGTAGTTTTTGCTGTTTTACACTATTGTGCATACCACGAATGTGTGTGTGACAGTTTGGTTTTGGCAAAGAGCCATTATTGTCTGCAGCCCCTTTTAGAGAAAGCTGTCACCTTGTCTGCTAGCACTGCCCTCTGCTGCCCAGCTCGACCTTGGTAGCCTGGTGAGCCCTGAACGCCTTGGCTTGACTTGGCCTTGGCTTGGCTAAATTCAACACAATGCAATGTGATCTCCAAGAGGGAGCAAGCCACTCTGTGAACCTTCTCAGTGCATTTCTAGCTCCAAGAGGGAGGAAGCACTTGAGAGTGATGCTATGGGCTCTGCAAGCCTACTAAGAGATCTGTGAGCTCCCCCTAAACACAGGCAACAAGCAGCATGACATCAGTGCCTTCTGTCTTTTCCAACTTCCTGAATCTCCATTTGACTCACTTTTGGAGGAGGAAAGAACCTTGAAAAACACTTTCTTAACTCTTCTCATTCCCCTGCTGCCTTGTTCAAATGCAGGTCCTCACTGGGCTCATCTTAGGAGGGTCTGCAGTTTCCCACCTGTGATCTGTTTGCAGTGATGCTCATGAAGCTGCTGGATCCAAGAGGAATGTGGAGAATGAAGTAATTTCAAAGGAGAGAAAAAAGACCTGGTACTTCCACGTGGTTTTGTTTTCTTTCAATAAAATTTTTCATTTGTTTGTCAAAAGATTACTATACATTTTGTGCAGTTTTCTCATTGTTGTGTTCTCTATAATGAATAAAGTTTTCTTGCTCTCATCCCAGACTTCCTAATAATGCCAGGAGGTACTTCCAAGAGCTTTCTGTTCAACCCTTAACTGGCGATATTCTGAGTTGGGGAAACCGTGACTACATTGGCTGTCTATCAATTTCCCTTCATCACCATCAGTTCTAGAAGCACATTTTCCAGAACCTTTTTCCTATATATTATTTCCTGTAGAGTCATTCACTGAGGTGCCATCTCAGGAAATCTGGACGTCAGAAGAGGAGGCTTCATTATACGTAGACACCTGAGACAAGTGGTTGCAGGGAAGGGCTGGATAACCACCTGGTGGGGTGTCCCAGGCAGCTGAGAGTATCAGCACTCCCACCCTGGGCTTCCTGGACAGGTCTGAGGACCACGTGGTGAGACACTCTGAACCTTCCATGGCAGATGCACAGCTTTTTGGGGGGAGCATCAGAGATATCCTCACTAATAGTGTCTGCTTCTTTGACTCCGATAGCCCAGATTGAAAGGTTGTCATTTAGATTCTAATCCATATTTAGATCATCCCTAATTGGGAAACCTGGAGGGGTTTCTCCTTTGCTGTGTGAGTCACAATGCTACCATATCCTAGATTCCTCAAGTGTAGTAAAGTCTGTCTGTAAAGAAATTATGAGAGGCATAGTCACATCTGAATGCTGAAACTGAGGAGTGGGAAGGAGAGCTGGGATGTAGAGGAGCCTGCTTGTCTTCTTCTACCAAAACCTTCCACTGACTACAAAGCCTGGCTGCATCTGAGAAAACACCCTCAGCAGATGGAGGCCCCAGGAGGAGGAGCTGGGGCAGCTCAGCCTCACAAACCTGCTTCCTTGGTGGTTTATGTTTGGGCTTGTAGCACTGTGGGAGGGTAACTGTTATATTGTTGACAGTAATAAATTCCAAAGTCATCAGGCTCCAGGTTGCTGATGGTGAGACTGAAATCTGTCCCAGACCCACTGCCACTGAACCTTGAGGGCACCCCAGAGTGCAATTTGGATGCCTCATAGATCAGGGGCTTAGGAGCTTTCCCTGGTTTTTGCTGATACCAGGCTAACCACTTGCTAATACCCTGACTTGCCCGGCAGCTGATGGTGACTCTGTCTCCTAGAGATGCAGACAGGGAGGATGGAGACTGGGTCATCTGGATGTCACACCTGGCACCTGAGAGTGGAAACAGAGAAGCAAATATCCACACAGTTAATCGTGTTATGGGAGGACTTCCCTGAAGGGCCTGCAGCCCTGACCGCACTGCCCTATGAATCCTGGGGTTCTCCTTCCTTACCTGGGAGCCAGAGCAGCAGGAGCCCCAGGAGCTGAGCGGGGACCCTCATGTCCATGCTGTGTCCTGATGGGGACTGACCTTGCACAGGCTGTGATCAGCCTATTATTAAGTCTTCAGGCCATGGGCTGTGCCCTGGGGACATGCAAATGAGCATGGGCTGGGGAGGGCTGGGTGTAGCTGCAGGGCTGGTCATCTCAGGAACTTAGGCTAGGTCTAGGGCCCAGCTGTTCTTGGTCAAGCCTGAGTTCCAAGTGTCCCAGGTGTTCAATCATCCAAGAGCAGTGCAGATTTCCTTACAGAGACTCCTTTTCTCCCCAGGTGTCATTTTATTATAAAAACACATTTTTTTAAAATGGACAGTTGACAAAATTTGAAATGAACATAAAAAAAGATTGAATACTGTATTTCATACTTGTATGGAGAGTACGTAATAAAATATCCTTGTTTGTATGTAGGTTATAGTACAGTCTTAGAGGGTGAGGCTGTCAGGTCTTCAAATCATTCTCAAGTTGTTCCAGTCAGAGTAAAGAAAATACCTTGTGCTGTATTTAACCTTACATTGTAAAATTGTTTCATATTTAAAAAATTAAAAATGGATTCATAAGGAGTATTTAAGATATATTCAAAAGTACTTTGGGATGGCCCTAAATCATTGATGTGACATAAATTTATTGCAGATACACCAAGATGGTACCAAGT